GATTTAGATATGATTCTCAAATCAATTAATATCCTCATCTTGAATAAGATTTAATTTACAAATATTGCAATGCGATCGCTGAAACTGATTCCATTCCGGGTTCCTGAAACTCAAATTTTTCATATCAGGACAAAGTTTTATTTTAACTAGCGCTCTCAGTTCCACCAAAATATAAAATTTCGAAAGAAAATCGTATCTATTGACTAAAATGTTTGTATTGACCTATAATTCATTCGGAGTCATGCTGACGTTGACTGTAGGGAACGATAGAAGTTTAAGAATGTTGATGTCTAGCGATACACGCAAATCATGGCTTCGTTCACCAATTATTATAAGAAAAAATTTGCCGTAATAGATAAAATATATATATATATATATTCATGTTCGCATATTTTCATAGATTCATACATTCATGTTCACGAAAAATGAAATTATTGACGATTTGAAACACGAACGACCATTAAAACACCAAATACTAGGTTAGGAAAATTGCTGTGTGACTGAATTTTAATAAATTTATTACTCGATATTTTAATGCTTGTCGGTGACTACAATTTTGGTTGTTGACTAATCAGTTATTCTTCATAATTCCATTGATTTTTATGACCCATGTAAAGATGTGTTACATTTTATTTTTCCCAAAATTTACAGAAAAAAACAGCAAATAGATGTACAAAAACGCTTCAAAATTGCCAACGCTGGCCGCTTGCCTAACCTCTGCTGGATCAGTGAAGGACTCCCGTGACAGAGCGCAGAATTGCTACTAAGCGAGTCAAAAGCTACATTCACTTTGAGTCAAACGAGCTTCAAATAAGATTAAAAAGCTATAAAACGCATTTATCCGAACGTCTGCAGAAGGTAGCTTTTATTGACCGTTTCCCTGCATAATTCAGTGAGCTTAATAACTGTATTACCAGCAGGCAATGTCTGGTTGAATCAACGTTAAAACAACGTACTTCGCGACGTTGAAATAAGGTGTGAATATTAGTCCAGAATGTAAAGTGAATAACGTTATTTTTTCAACGTCATCCAATTCGATGTTATTTCAACGTTGAAATCGCATTGAATTCTGACGGTAAAAGCGCATTTATAAAAGGTTTTATAAAGTTAACATGCATGTTCTATCATGAATGTCGCAGTATTCTCGCGATGTCAACGGTGAAACAACGTTGAAATGTACGACGTTGAAAAATGACATTGATTCACGTCTCATTCTGGACTAATATTCAACCTTATTTTAAAGTCGCAAAGTTCGCTGTTTAAACGTTTATTCAACCTGACGTTGTCTGCTGGGTTTCTTATACAGCTTAACGGATTAATGGTTACCTTTTATTCTTTTTTAAAAACCTAAACAGTTTGGTTTTGTTGAAAGAAAATCCGTTTCTGTCCTTCTTCGTATATAATTAATAATCTTCGTATAATCGCTATTGGGTCCTTCTTCGTATATAATTTTTTGGTTCATTTGGTTTGGTTCATTGATTTTCACTTATTGGCTAGAGAGTTTCAATGACTTTTCATTAATACTTCTGGCTTTATTTGCTGTAGAAATATTGTAATAATATGCTGCAATACTTTGAACACGAAAACAGTAATGTAATAGGTTTATTATTATTCAGTTTATTCAACATCCAGTAGTGTAATATAAGGGTTATTATTATTCAATATCAAGCATAACGGCTTTTGCCAAAATTTTAGGCGCTCTGGTACTCCAAAATCATTGTCCACTTGTGTAAATTTATTATTATTCATGTCAACAGTTAGTTGGTCAACATTTTCATTTATCATAGTTCAAGTTGATTAACTACTCTTGATAGTACTATTTGTGATCTATTATTACTAATAGTTAATTTATTTTATTTCTTCACTTTTTCGTCACATAGTAAACTGATGTATACAATGAGATGCAAACATGCTGAACTCTACTACTGTGTTCAGAAGTAGTACGAATACTTAAACAATCGGGCTCTACTTACTCTACTTACGTACTCTAATCGGGCTCTATACTTACGCAGGAACCAAAGCCTTGTATATACAGTATTATTCATTTTAATCACCACTGAGCAATATCTTTAACTGATATACATTTTAGTTATATTCAAACGAAGCACATTAATGTTGCATATTGCGATCTATACACAGAGGTGGGCAGTAGCGCGCTACATGTAGCGGCCGCTACATTTTCAGTAGCGATAGCGGCGCTACATTTAAGCAATTGTAGCGGTAGCGGTAGCGCCCGCTACATATTTAAGTAGCGATACGAGGTCTTGCCGCTACAGCGCTGCCGCTACATTTATAGATAAAGCCTTTAGATTTTACTTAATAATATTAAATGTTATTTAAAAACCAGCATGATACACACATAATATAAATTACAGAATAAGACTGTACGAAAGATTTCGGTGTAATGTTGTCAACCTCAGCCTCATTATTAATGTATGTGTCCAGAAGTTGAAGGCGAGTAAGGATAAAAATTTATGCTACTGCGCACCTCTTGCAGATGCTTTATTAATGGGAGTTCAAACCAGGTTTTCCAACCAACTGGAAGACCTCGCTTGCATTATCGCTTCAGCTTTTCACTCCCAATTCAAATTAACCTGGTGTAAAGACGAATCTAAACTGAAGACGAATCTAAACAGAAAATGATCTCTCTGCATGGTTGATGGGAAGCTTTCTGACACAATTACACAAGCTTCCAACGGCAGCAGCAGCGATGACGAGGAGAATGCTGATTCGTTCTTTAATGAACTCCATAAAACACGAAATCACAGTCACGTCAATGAAGGAGATCGACTAGTGAACAATTATTTGGAAAGTCCGCTAAGCACCGCTTTACCTGCTCCTGAATTATTTCCCTGTAACCCGTTCCTTGAGATTTTTGTAGAGTACAACACTCCAATCCCTTCTAGTGCTGCGGTGGAGAGGATGTTTTCCTTGGTAAAGGATATCCTAAAGCCAAAGCGTTCAAGCTTGTCTGATGTTCATTTTGAAATGCTGGTATTTTTAAAAGGAAAAGTTTAATTAAATGGAAATTTTATTCCGTGTTGTTTGCTTGCGAGTAAATGTTTTTTTATTTCGATTTGTTTACGACTTGCGAGTAAATGTACAGGTATTGTTATGTTTCAGTTTGCTTGCAGGTAAATGTTACAGGTATTTTTATATTTCACTTTGCTTGCGACTGTCGAGTAAATGTTACAGGTATTTTTTCATGTTTCAGTTTGCTTACAGTTATTTATACACAGTTATTTTTATGTTTCACCCTCCCTACATGGATGTCTACTTTAATCTACCAAAATTGGTAGATTAAAGTAGACATCCATGTAGGGAAGGTAAAACATAAAAATAACAGTAACTTTTATTTACTGTATCTAACCCGTACTAGTTCGATCAGGTTAATTGCAATAAAGTAGCATTGATATGTTTTGAAAATGTTTTATTGTCATTAAATGTTTATGAGTAAATCCCAATAGCAGAACAATAAATATTTAGAGATTTCCAATAATTTTGGCCATTGTAGCGGTTAATGTAGCGGCGCTACATTTTACTGTAGCGGTAGCGGTAGAGATCGCTACAATCTAGTGGGTGTAGCGGTAGCGGTAGCGCCCGCGACATTTAGAGCATGTAGCGGTAGCGGTAGCGGCCGCTACATTTTAAAGTAGCGTTGCCTAGCTCTGATCATAGATCATATATACGCTATAACCAATCATTTGACAAATGATGTAATTACTTTCGCTTCAGGCCTTTTATCACTTCTTTGTTCATATTCGCTGATTAAGTTGAGTCATAGGGCAGGAATTTGGTCGCTTTCAATTAGTTTGCAAAGTCAACTGAAGCATTTGACTTCATTTGACGAGACAGTTAATCCGGCTCAGTATTAAAACTTTTTGAAAAAGCGTCGAATGAAATTTTACAAATTTTTTTATTTGAAATAAAAACACATATTGTTGAATAAAATCCAGATAATTTTTATGAAGTGTAAAATAATTGTCAAGTTTGTTGAGTAGCCTAATGCTGTTCGGCCAGAATATAAATGTGAAAAGTATAAGCGCTCCACAGTTTTATTGTGTGTGTGAAGTTCAAATATTCTTTAATTTAATTATGTGCAACATGAAAGTATCCAAATTGCGCAAGCCTTTCTGTCCTGCAAATGTTATCAGGTTGGCGAGCTGCAGGGGAAGCGACGCGCTCTTTCGTCAACGATCCATGCCAGTACACCGAACCACCAAATTCAGTTTGCTACAGAGACAGTAATAGATAAAAATTATGTGCATATTATTGCGATGTTTGATTAAAGTAGAATTAAATTTTTTTTAATTCACACTAAGATTTACTAATTCAAATAATTGACTGGAAAATGCCACCTAATGCTTGAATAAAATGAAATAACTGATTGTGACATCAATCACGAAAATTCTTACACTGATGATAAACCACCCAAAAATTTCACAATACACTTACCAATCTTTGATGACATGCCAGTGAAAGTTACATTATTCATTTTTTCACATCTCGAGTTCCATTCAAGGTGAGAAAATGACGTTTATAAATTTTAAACGATATACATATGAATAATTCGGCATTTATTAGTTATTTAGGGATCATTTAGCAGAGAAAAAAGGTGAATAAGCCAGAATTTCGTTTTTTTTCATTCAAGACCAGACTGTCGGCGGTGAACACTCGAATCCCGTCAATGAAGCTGCCAAGCTAAATGGTACAGAGAACGTGGCCTTGAACGCTGCCTCCCATCTACTCGTGGTTGAAAATAGTCAATGCGTTGAACTTTTGGTAACCGAGCTCCAATATATCAAAAATTTATGTACGACTTTACCTGTGGTAAAGGTATACAGCGACAATCGTCATAGATCAAAATTTTGTTTATTGTATCGTCCACGCTTAGTAATGTGAAAAACAAACCCAGTCATTGTTTGTGACCTTCAAATGAGCGATTCAACGGACGCCATCCGGCGACTACATAAGGCGACGTGACGCAGCGGCCGGCCTCTAGTGCGTAGTGTGAAGTCGGTTGCTTCGTTAGCTCTGCAAATATCCTGTTCGATCTCCAGTCTACGTTACTATCAATCATGGCGCCCATTCTTGGATATTGGGAAATTAGAGGCGTGAGTATTTTATATCGAGCTCATAGCTGATATGTGGATCAAGTTGGGATATCCAGTATGAAACTCTTGCTCGATAATAGAGATTGTGAAACTCGGGACTATTGATGCCGTGGCACGAGTCGTTTCAGCTACAGGCTTTGTGAACCTTGAACAGAAGTGCCGCCTGTGAACGTTGACAGTCCCTGCTAGGGCAGGTGTTCCGATATTTCTTTTTATGCAAATTATAATCATAGTAATTCCTGTAGAATGCCACGTTGGCTTGACGATAATTAAATATGCACGTCTTTCATATATCATTTGGAATGGTATCGGTTATTGCGACTGTTGCCAAGACTTAGTAAGCCTTGAAATGTACAATAGTTCTCCCACATGTCTTGCGTCCAGACTCTCAAAGCGTTAGGCTTGTAGCAAGTTCATGATGCAATAGTAGCCAGTCTGCAGATGTTATACTTTTACCCTTACTCAATTCAAATTATATTGTATTAGGTAGAACTACCATTTGTAAGGCTCTATGACCACTTGATGACATAGAAGCGCCTTCGATTTCGTTAGAAATTTGTAGTGTATTGTTCATAAATATACACTCTGTTCAAGGTTGGTTAAGGAATATTAATGAGCATAGACTTTAAAAATAATGATTTATTCTGAATATCTCGCTACAACGACGTCAGTTGTCAGAGCGCGTAATGCTGTGTGGTTGCAACGGTTACCGCGAGGGGTTGACAGGGTTGCCAAGTATACAAGAAGCATCTGCTCGTCAGGAGTAGATGCCTTCAGTGCTTTTCAAACAATTCGCCCAAGTTTGTCTTACTACCACCAGAGGTGGGCAGTAGCGCGCTACATGTAGCGGTCGCTACTAGCGGCCGCTATATTTTCAGTAGCGGTAGCGGTAGCGGCGCTACATTTAAGGCAATGTAGCGGTAGTGGTTGCGCCCGCTACATATTTAAGTAGCGATACGAGGTTACACGATACGAGGTTATAAATGTAGCTACCGCTACATTTATAAATAAAGCCTTTAAAATTTAGATTTTACTTAATAGTATTAAATATTATTTAAAAACCAGCATGATTCATACATAATATAAATTACAGAATAAAACTGTACGAAAGATTTCGGTGTAATATAATGTCACCTCAGCCTGTTACTGGTGTCAACATGTTAGTTGTTACTTGTTAAGTTGTTACCAGTTACCACTTACAGGTATTTTTTCATGTTTCAGTTTGCTTACAGTTATTTTTACACAGTTATTTTTATGTTTCACCTTCCCTACATGGATGTCTACTTAAATCTACCAATCTCATAAATAATCACATAAATATACAAATAAAAGACTGATTTTTCATATGTATATGTGGATAATTTTTGAGATTGGTAGATTAAAGTAGACATCCATGTAGGGAAGGTAAAACATAAAAATAACTAACTTTTATATACTGTATCTAACCCGCATTAGTTCGGTTAGGTTAATTGCAATAAAGTTTCATTGATATGTTTTGAAAATGTTTTATTATCATTAAATGCTTATGAGTAAATCCTAATAGAAGAACAATAAATATTTAGAGATTTCCAATAATTTTGGCCATTGTAGCGGCTAATTTAGCGGCGCTACATTTTACTGTAGCGGTAGCGGTAGCGCTCGCTACAATCTAGTGGGTGTAGCGGTAGCAGTAGCGCCCGCTACATTTAGAGCATGTAGCGGTAGCGGTAGCGGCCGCTACATTTTAAAGTTGCGTTGCCCAGCTCTGACTACCACGATATATTATGGGGGAGGAGTTGTCAGACATAACCAACGCGATAATGACGCATTCGCCTATTTTCATAATCTAGTTTTCTTAATGCATAAGATTGTCAAACATTAATTTTTCGTTACGCCCGATGTCCCAATTGGTTCTAATAGTCAATGTCCGTTGCAGTTGGCCCAGTACATCCGCTACGTCCTCGCCTACACAGGCACGGAGTACGTAGACAAGCACTACACCACTGAGTGGGCGGATGACAAGGAGAACCTGGGTTTGGAGTTCCCCAACGTAAGTTACTCTTCCTTCATAACGTGTGTGTAATTGATAAATTTATTGTAAATTTAGTTTCTCGGGCAATTGTGTCCGTCTATTAAATATTGCTCTTTTACAGCTTCCGTACTACATCGATGGAGACTTGAAGATCACCGAGAGTGGAGCCATCCTGAGGTACCTCGCCCGTAAGAATAACCTGGTTGGTTCGACTGAGGATGAACGCATCCGGCTTGACATGGCTGAAGGAATCATTGGTGATGCCATGCGAAGCATTGTTGTGCTATGCTACAACTCAGATTTTGTAAGTTATTTTTGCAAACCCTCAGCATCCGGCTGGACATGGCTGAAGGCATCCTGACTGATGCCGGACGAAGCATTGTTATGCTATGCTACGACCCTGATTTTGTAAGTTATTCTTGCTAAATCTGTCTTTCTTGACTCTAATGGAGTAGTTGGAATCGATGTGTTGTCGACCTTCACTTTATATTTGGGCCATTGCCATATCCCATGCGCGCGGCCAAGTCAGTAGAGTGAAATGCCACTCGACGGAACTTTAGACGTGATCGATAGTAAGGCATGATCTTTGCGTAGGGTGTTTGGGCTTGATGCAACAGCTGGAGTTGGCTTGGGCAAGTCAGAGGTTCTGAAATTTGAAGTGTAATCGTTCTAAATATTTGATCATGAGGATTTAATATTTCATGGTATTAAATGGTCGTGAGAATTGAGAATGCTTACGGCTTCGGAAGAATTTTTTGCCCTTTTTAAAATTTTTGTGCAGAATAGGAAAAAGTTCATTCCCTAGAAGACATCGATCTAAGATCGAGTAAATTCAGACAGGTTCAGACTAACTTCTTCCTTTGCGATTACAGGAGACCAAGAAGGTCGATTTCATTGCCAACATCGACAACACTCTGAAGAAACTTTCAAAGCTGGTGGGCAGCAATAAGTTCATTCTTGGCGACAAGGTTAGTTCTTTAATTTTCCAAGAAGCGTGTACTTAAATGAGTTCAAGATTACAATATTTTCAACACGGTCCTAAGTAATGGTCCGTTATTTGTAGAAGTTAACATCCGCGTTTGAAACATTGATTTTCCTCATACTTTCGATTTCTTCAATTGAACTCAGTTGAATGAATAGAGTGAATATACTTTGAAACTTGATAGAATGGTGGTCGGTATTAGTGTGAAGATTATACTGTTTAATATAGATAATGATGGATACTGGAATATCAGTAGCAATGCAGAATGCTCTCAACAGAATAACAGTATAACATTTATTTTAGTAAACTTCAGTCAGCCCATCAGGAATAGAATCTTGTAGTTCAGATCTCCTGACTTCACTCTTCAGGAGCATTAGTTCACCAGCCCCATACAAAATTTCTGAAGCTAATAACACCTTGCTGATCCCAATATACATTGACTGTCAGGTTATGGTCGTCGACTTCATCCTTTTCGAGACGTTGGAGCGCTACGTCGCGCTGGTGCCCACTTGTCTCGACAGCTACGCCAACCTCCAGTCTTTCCACAAGCGCATCGAGGACATTCCCAGCATCAAGAAATACCGAAGTTCTCCTGAATTCGCCAAAATTAAAGAACAATTCAATGGACCCATGGCAAAGTTCGGCAGTGTGGGCGGGGGCAGGGTGGCCCAGTGGTTACACTTCAGAGTACAAGGATTGGAGCTGTGAGGTGCGGGTTGGATACCAGCTCTGTGCGCCAGTTTCTGGTCAGAATCGGCAAGGAGGCCGGGCGGTTAAGCAAAGAAAATTTGAAGCAGTAAGTTGCGAGTTCAAGCCCGCAACATGCTGTGGGTGTTCTCCAATGTTAGGAATCGGCGACAGACCTACGGCCTAATAAACGCTGGAACCGCTAAGTCATAATTCCACTTTACCGGACTTTAATTATTTTTTTTTGCTAAATTGCAAAAAATATATAAAAAAACTTGACCTGGCTGGACCTAACCTCAGTAAAACGGTCTCTAGCAACCTAAAGAAGGGTTTAGACACACCTAACCCTAACTCTAACCCTAACCTAACGAGGTTGGCGTTTTTTGGTGTCCGGTAATGTAGTTCATTTATTTTCGTGTCCGGTTTTTGAGTACAAACTAATTCCAGAGTTAATTACCGGACTCTATTTTGTCATCATATATATCATTGTAGACCAGAGACTTCGTTTTATTGACAGTTTTCTTATTAGTTTTTTCAATAGATCGAACAAGATTTTTCGTTTGCCCGGGTAAATCGAAAATCAGATTAGCGAAGGACATTTTTATTTCTTTAACGACGTTTCGAATGTTTCTATCATTCATTATCAAGTTTAAAGGCTCATTGAGTGATGGAATTTGGGTCGACATTAGTACAAAATCAAGTAAATAGGATACTACTCAAAAATCAAAATTGTTAGGAATAATTACAAAATCACAAAAATAATTAAAAATTAGAGCACCGAAAATCAATCCGAAAACAGTCTCAAGGTTCTGAAAAATCCAGTAGTTTGAAGGTTGATGGCTGGGGTCCTATCCTTAATGATGAGGGCCTCAGCTATCACGAGTCGGTTGGCGTCGGGGCATCTCATGACGACGCTGGTGCATTAATTCTTCCAGCACCGTACGAGTGACGGTCTCGTTGTGGGCTTCCATCAGGTGGTTCCTTGGTCCACCAGACTGAAGGTGGCACGTGAGACGTCGGCTTAATGTCGTAGTTGTGAGCCCGATGTAGTCCATGTTAGGGAAAAGTCTACAACCTTCTCTATTGCAAGAAAATTTATAGACTACATTGGTCTCTTGGAAAACTCCCGTTTTTTTGCATGGGTTATTGTTCATTACAAGATTATGTATTTTCTTGTTCTTGTAATAAATCAGTAGTTTAATTTTATTATTAGTTACGTTCACGATGTTGTTGTGAACGACATAATGAAGGACCCGTTCATCCCGACGCCTGCATCGGCATCATGCGGTGCCCCAACGCCTGCACCAGCATCATGCGGTGCCCCGACGCCTGCACCAGCATCATGCGATGCCCCGACGCCTGCACCAGCATCATCATGCGGTGCCCCGACAGCGGTGCCCCGACGCCTGCACCAGCATCATGCGGTGCCCCAAGCCTGCACCAGCATCATGTGGTGCCTCAAGCATGCACCAGCATCATGCGGTGCCCCGACGCCTGCACCAGCATCGTCGTGTTGCGTAAGATGGCCCGCCAAAGCCTGGTGGCTTCTGGGCCGAAACCTTGCTTGCAAATGACCGCTGTATGGCATCCATGATGAATGATTTAACTCTCCCCAATTATTGCATGTTTTACTGGCTAACAAAATCATTAAATTACGCTTAGTTTCGAAGGCAATCAAAACGAATTGGAAGTTTATTGCAGTGGCGCCAAATCCGCCTATTAGGAGGCATTTTTCATCAAAGTGATTCTATAAGAATCTTTTTTGGGAAAAAATGCCTGTCATCAAAAATGCCTGACAAATGTAAATGCCTGTCATCGGATTTGTCTCTTTTGGGGAGTTTGCCCTAGACTGAGAAATTTCATAAAAATTTTGAGAGACTTTTAAGTAAATTAACTTGTCAATTGACCATGCATACAATTCGAATTGGCTATTTGTTGTGAATCAATTATATGATGCAAAAAGCTGTTTAGATGGGATTGCCTCGAGTTGTCAAGTGCTTCTTAAATCAACGGAACGGTAAATCGGGGCTTACACATGGTTGTGCAAAGCAGGAAACTTATGACTGAACTTTAGTTTATTCACCGTGGGAATTATTTTGTTAATTAGATAAATTTTTTATCACTGCAAAATTATAGCTTTCATTTTTCTTGAGTGGTTTTGTGTTCGTTTCAAGTTTTTTAACGGTTCAAGTAAACTGGTGACGAACTTCAGTTATATTTTTATTGAATTATTACTAACAATTCGAATAGTAGTTTTCGTCAAAATGAGCTAAATGTCGTTTTTGGACAATAATATTATCTTCATTGCCACTAAACTACATTTATTTTAAAAGATTTTTATAATGAAGCTACCTACCACCACCATACTGGATATGCCCGGTACTATGTAATAGAATAACGGATGAAGGTTTTGTCGATTGGTAATATATCAATCAATTAGAGAAAATAATGCGTTAGTTCTTTCACTTATTGAAATTTTGTTCGAATTTTCTCTGCGCCTGAAAACATTCTCGTGTCTGCCTCTTACTCAATCACTTTACTTTACAGATAGTAGAGAAGAGTACATGCAATGCGTAAAGCTCGTTCACGCAAGCACTATACCACAACAAAGATTATGCGGATGCAACTGATAATCAATAAAAATTTTAAGCCGATGAATAATTCAGTTGTGCCGTATAAAATGTAATTAATTCAGTGATGCACTTTAATACAGGCATTGAAGTAGCACTGGTATTTAAATAACTGAATAAATTGTATTAAAAGTACAAATGTACAGTTCTAAGACGGTTTATCAGGAAAATTTTGCTGAAATTTATGTTCCAAAAATTTCTATTAGAACGCTAATGTGGTCCCGTTGAGAATTTCAAGTGGCAGTATTTCCTTTATCCGCACACAATATATTTTAATGAAACGAGAACGGTTATTGGTTCTACTTACCCGGACAAAATGGTCAATCGTGTAATTGCGAAAACACATCATTTTCTGCTGATATGAATTGTGGAAATTCAGTTAAATTTGAGGTCCAATCTGGTCAAACTATACACGCACAAAACTAGAGTGTATAAAATGCAAGTCAGTATGACATTGAATAAATAAAATTTATTTAAGACAAAGTTTGACATTAGCGCTAGCCAAAAGCAATATTTATGCTATCATTAATATACCGTCTTTTATCTTAAGAAAAGTAATGCACGCTATCGGAGACCGCTGATTGGTTGGAAGTTATGAATATAAACAGGCGAAGCCACATCAGTCGAATCTTATCTTCGACGCTATTTTAGTGATTTGTTATCAGAAGAATACCGCGATCTGCTACTCGAGAATGAGGATTCGATTATTTAGTACAACAGTTGTGGATGAAGTGTTCCAAGTGCAGTTAGCGCATGTGAGCATTTATAAAGTTAATTCTGAATTTATTAAATTTTATTTAATAATTATTGATTTTAATATTTTGCGTTAAAAGAGGGAAGGAAGGAGAAAATAGATTCAATATTGAAACGCTTTGTAAGGCAATGGATAAAAAACAGAGACAAAGCAATATTTCGAAGTAATATTCTTTTTTATTTTTGAACTGGAAGTGAAGTGGGCAAACAATCGAAGACCAGCAAAGATGGAATCGAATTTTTTAACAGCATCTGTGCTGAAAATATCTAGCTTAATAGATGAAGTAAAATCAGTAATAGACAGCAAACAAGAACAATCTGCAGCTCTTCCATGTGGTCATCCATGCATGCTCTGCCGAAAAGGGTCGCCTTGGCTCACAGAAAAATTCACCCAAACTGAAACCGAACACCGAAATCAATGCGAAGATGAAGAAGAAATAGTTGAGAATTCAGCAGTTAGCAATGAAAATTCAATAGATGAAGTCTTTTTGTATGACTTCTGTTTAATCCACGGACAGTCTTTGGAGAATTGGTGCTGCAAGTGTCAAGTTGCAACTTGCAAGAGTTGCCCTGAGTTGCATTACGCCCACGGAGTTGTTGTTGCAAGCGACATGTTCCGCCAAGAAATGGCACCAAAACTTGTTAAAGTTGATTTTCGGAACCAGATTGGTGCAAAATTTGAAACGTTAGTTAAGGAGAGCATAGATGACTGCGATGAAGGTTTGCGATTGATGAATGAGGCTCAAAAAGTTGCTGATGCATTACGGGTTCGTAAAGTGCATCTTCTCAAGCAGCGAAAAGATATCCGAGAATTGTCACGAGCTGTGGAGGAGTCACGGGATTCTGCAAGTTTACAAGAAAACCACTGGCGTTTGTGTAAAATAATTTCCAGAATTGATGAAGAATACAAGAACCTCGAGAAGAAAATAGAGGCCATGTGTTTCGACATGACGAAGCTGGAGACAAAATTAAAGGCGAGTAAAATATCACCAGCATAAATATGTAAACTCTTCATTGTATTTGGCTGCTGCTTGCCTCTTTTTCCAATGACTAAATGTGATTTATTTTTACTTGTTTTTTTCCCTTGATGAATCGCAAATTTAATGATATTCATCACAGGCTCTGAAGAATTTTTACATTAAAAATGAATTGTTAAATGTGAATTTAGTTGAAAATTTAAGAAAGCTTTATTTATTTGATCATGACTGTTCTACTTCAGTAAATAGAATCCATAGAATAGAAAACAATAGAATAGGAAGTAAAATAGGCTGTAGCATAACATAATTGATTTAATGGATTAAATTTTTCGAATATCTCAGAAAACGTACAAAGCTNTCTGACCATAAACACTCAACACTTGTGACCATAAACACTCAACACTTGTGACCATACATGGCGAATATGAAGTGCGTAAAGCCCTCGCAACACTCAACACTTCTGACCATAAACACTCAACACTTGTGACCATAAACACTCAACTCTTGTGACCATACATGGCGAATATGAAGTCCGTAAAGCCCTCGCAACACTCAACACTTCTGACCATAAACACTCAGCACTTGTGACCATACACGGCGAATATGAAGTTCGTAAAGCCCTCGCAACACTCAACACTTCTGACCATAAAACTCAACACTTCTGACCATACACGGTGAATATGAAGTCCGTAAAGCCCTCGCAACACTCAACACTTCTGACCATAAACCTTCAGGGCCAGTCGTGGTCCTCTCCACTGGCGACAAACCCATACAAAGTTTATCTGAACTTCTTCTCAGGCTTGGAAAAGGAGGACATCAAGTCAAAATAAAACTATTGGATTCCTTCTGGGCCAAGGAAACTCCGCTTGCTGACTGCGCCAAGTTGGAACCTTTCATCAAAGAAGGATATGGGTATGTGCAACTTTTCTTTATATTGTTCGTCTCAGCCTCAGATTTAAAACCTTATTTTAACTGGTGTCTTATAGAGTGGATAAGATCATCAAGATTCAAGCAGCTAACTGTGATTTCAAACCAACAGTTCGTTGGGAAAATTCTGGTCGAACTCGATGAAGTTCCCGAGGAGTTGAGTTCCGCAAAATTATTGGAGCAGCTAATTTTGCATTCAAGACCCGCTGCTAGCTTTAGAATCTGCTATGTGTAGACATAGCATGTCCATCATTTAAGTAGTAAGCGAATTATCTAATTTTGCGATCGGACAGTATTATGCGAAAAAGCGTATTTCCTCACGGCCCATTTGATAATTTATTACGTGCGTTGGAAGAATAAATTAAACGACTCTCATTTAAACGAAAGTAAACTTTGATGCCGATATCAAATGCCGCTAATTTTTCATTTCCTACACTTATCTCTCTCGATCGCGGTTAAAAACTAATAAATATCGTGCTTAACAATCATAACTTCGAATGCTACGTAAGTTTTGCAGCCTTCTTCCAGCTTAAAAATTTTGTCAATGTGATTCAACTATCCTGAAACCTCTTAATTTACCGAAAGCCCCTATATGGAGCTGCGGTGGTGCAGTGGTGAGAGACTCAGTCTCTCGCACCCAGCGCCCGGGTTCGAGTCCCACTGAGGACGAGTTCTACCGGGAAGCTCAGCTCATGGTCAACTCAGCCATTCATGCAATTCTGGTTGATAAATGAGTACTGGCTTGTCCAGGGTGTTGTGTAATGCAATCAAATGGTTCTGGCAGGTCAGCGAGCCAGTGATGGTCGTAGAACTACCAGTGGCATTATGTGCCACTGGTAGTGGCACATAAAAAAAACTGACCTATCACCCCTCCCTTACCTAGTCGCCACTACCAGGATGGGCAATTACACGCACAACACACTAACCTATTATACATATCAATGCTTGTCGAATTGAAGTTGTCGATATTCTACGAAGAAGTCATAAAATTACAGCTATTGCCGGAGCTTAAAATTATGCGCTTGGCAATGCGTGTTAGTTTTCTTGCCTGCATAACAATGTTAATTTATATCTTGTTAAATTATTCAGGGTTTCCGTGCTCTCATTCATGGGCCACATGAGGGAGAGCACGCTGCAGAATTTGGGGGCCAAACGTCTTCGTAAAATTGGCCTTCGACTTGACACGGCGTCGGATGTGGACCTCTTCAACGCCAGCCCTGCAATTGATTGTTATAGACGTGAGACATAATTAATAAATAACATGTTAATTAAGCACCTGCACCCAGGAAAATGGATAGGTCATATTGTCCAAAGAATGATACACCTGATCCGTATAGCACTGATAAATCGGGACATGTCCATTTCCCGAGTCTGACGTGGACCTCTTCAACGCCAGCCCTGCAATTGATTGCTATAGACGTGAGATATAATTATTAAATAAAAAATATATTACACGTGCACCTGTACTCAGGAAAAAAGATGGGTAATATTGTCCAAAGCGTGATACACCTGACCCGTTTAGCACTGATATCCCAGGACATGTCCATTTCCCGAGTCAAATTGGGTTAAAATGACAATGCATCACTATTTGGACAAATGAGCCTAAGTGAAAAATAATCAAAAGTGCTTCAGACGAATAAGCAAAAGAGCATCAAGATTTGGAAAAAGTCTCATTAAGTTCTCTGAGCGTGAAATAAAAGCGGTATTTATTCATATTTGTTGCCACTAATAAAATCTCACGCGTAGTGAGATTTTATTACGCTCAGTCCACATCACAGGCAAATAAATCAAATCTGGCACTTTCATCACTGTAGATTGCCCAAGTAATCCAGAACCACTTGAGATCAAACTTTAACATGAATACCTTCGCTTGCTATGCAAAATAATAGAAGCCTCATTCGAACAATATCTAATTAGGTTCATTTTGAAAGCCCGGTGCGATTACCGTTGCCACCGGCCCAATTTCTGGGGCCATACTTTCAAAATTCGTTAAGTGAACGTAAGTACTTACGCTCTATTTTCTTGTCTATGATTGGTGGGTTTTGCTTGAAAGGCCGTCAATCCTGCGAACTCATGGTTGAATTAATATTAATTCAACCATGTGCGGACTGGCCTGCGCACTCGAACGCAAAACCTAACTTGACGTTCAATTCTGCCAGCCATAAATCCATCAATACCGAACGGATTTCATTCAAAATTTAAAAATAAGTAGATATTATCAATAATTTGTGGACGGATTTATTTCAGATTTTTACATCAATAACTTTTTTTAAATGCCACAAAATACTGAAACTTGAACCGAATAGGACCCAACCTGCAAGGCGAACGTGAAGTTAGGTTTTCGTATTAATAAAAAAGTAATTGATGTAAAAATCTGGAATAAATCTGTCCACAAATTATTGATAATATCTACTTATTTTTAAAATTTGAATGAAATCCGTTTGGTATTGATGGATTTATAGCTGGCAGAGTTGAAAATGAAGTTAGATTTTCCGTATTAATAGAAAGTAATTGATGTAAAATCTGAAATAAATCCGTCCACAAATTATTGATAATGTCTACAGTCTACTTATTTTTAAAATTTGAATGAAATCCGTTCCGTATTGATGGATGTTTGGCTGGCAGAGTTGAAAATGAAGTTAGGTTTTCCGTATTAATAAAAAAGTAGTTTATGTAAAAATCTGAAATAAATCTGTCCACAAATGTTTGATAATATCTACTTATTTTTAAAATTTGAATGAAATCCGTTCGGTATTGATGGATTTATGGCTAGCATAGTTCAACGTCAAGTTAGGTTTTGCATTCGAGTGCGCAGGACGTCTCGGACAAAAACGCGGCCTGTCTTCAGTGAGTGAGCGTAGAATATCTCGCACAATACTGGACGTAGCTCGATGAAACTTTGTACACATAATCATTAGTGCCTAACGGTGATGTTTAGCTCGTGACAATTTTTCAAATTTCGCCTTCATTCGTGAGTTATATGAATATACGTGCTGAAATTTGCAGTGAGCGTGGCATTTCTTCTAAAGTACTTTACAGATTTGAATGAAATTTTGAATATAAATTTCTGAATACCCGACGGTGATGTTTAGCTCATGATATTTTTTTCACTTTTGCCTTCGTTCGCTCGACTTTCTGAAGAAAAGTCAACGTTCACAGACCGTCTCCGTAGACTATCAGACGAAAGTCTACGTTCTCTCACATATCAGCTCCGAGACCAACTCCATCAGAGGAGGTCGAATGCCTGGCCAGAGCCAAGGTTTAACCACCCACAAGTGTTGTGGGCATGCAGAAGCAAGTTTGCCGTGCCCAAACCATGCTCCCATCATCGTCCATGGCTGGCAGTATGCGTCCAAGTCAAAATGTGCGCTCGACTTTCTGAAGAAAAGTCTACGTTCACAGACCATCTCCGTAGACATAGCCCTCCGACGGATGGCACGACACCGTCAGAAGCTATAGCTGGCCTGATACCTCTTTTGATCACAGCGAGAATCCTCGCAGGTTAGGTCCAAGTCAGGTCAAGTTCAGCTACTTTCCAAGCACTCAGTAAACGAACCAGACCGGACTCGACCTAACCCTGAGGTCCCTCGCTTAACGTGCAGCAGAGGACAAGGCCTCTGCCACACACATAGCCCTCCGACGGATGGCACGACAACGTCGGCGGGCTATAACTTGCTTGATACCTCTTGCTACAAGCTATAGCTTGCACTAGACGCCATTACCAAGGTCTCCACAGAGCTGGACAACCGCTGCACTCGTCAACGATCGTCCGTCAGGCTGTCTCAGACAGCCACAGCCACCGGGACACTGCTGGTGTCCCGAGCTAGAGCTTGATACCTCTTTCGTTTAGCGCGGTGAATGGGATATGCACAACACCCAAACACGCACGCACTTGCCAGCAGACAGCAAGTAAGCACTCGCACTCTCTCAACCTAAGAGACAGCGGAGCGCAAACTTGTGTCACGAATATAACTCACGAATGAAGGCGAAATTTGAAAAATTGTCACGAGCTAAACATCACCGTTAGGCTCTAATGATTATGTGTACCAAGTTTCATCGAGCTACGCTCAGTATTGTGCGAGATATTCTACGCTCACTGAATTTGGAGTCCGGCCGCGAGACCGGCCGTAAGACAGGCCGCGTTTTTGTCCGAGACGTGTGCGCAGGCCAGTTCCCAGGCGAATTCGCTGAAGTGTCGATTCGGTATAAATAATTTGCTATTCAAGCCCAGCTGTTAAAGATATGACTAAGAGTTAAGATAAACACCAATGTTTCGATGCGCATATCTCTTTATAAATACAAGGGCATTTATAAAGAACTTAGTTATAAGTTCTCCAAAGAACTTATAAGTTGTAAGCAAAGTGTAGCTTCTCAGGGAAAAGCAACAATATTATCGAGTTTATCTGTTATCTAATTATGATATTCTACTTATATTATATCATTATCTACTTATGAGGAAGTTCTGGACCTGGAATTTTTTTTAACAATTTTTCTTTTGGTTCGAGCATGAAATCCGAAAAAAATCGTTATCAGTCAATCGATAGGAATTTTTAGGTTTAGAATTTTCAATCATGTCGGTCTAAAATGCATTGCAAGCAATTGGTTTCTTTTTTGTTTTTTTTTTCTTTATTTATACTTGAAGATTTATGTATTTGCGGAGGGAGATGTCAGACGGTTTGTTTACGTCAACCATCTGGAGGCTCCAGCAAAGTTGAGTTTCCAGCACGGAATTTTCACTGTTCCCAACTTCCCTTAACCACGTTTTACTGAGCTGTTAAATTGTTAGGTAGGTACCAATTAAACCCAGTTTAGGCAAGAGGCTTTATGGACTAGTTTCCAGTGCTCCTATAAGAATAAATAAGAAAGAAAGATGTTCCAGCACTGCTGGATAAAAAAATAATTAATAAAACAAATTCTCTGGTATTCAATCAAATATTTAGAAGGATGCATATGGATATACGTTCAAAATATATACTTGTATGCAT